ATTAATAGAAGCCAACATGGATTTATCAAAAATAAATCCTGTCAGACTAATTTAATCTCATTTTCTGACTGGGTAACTTCTCAAATGGGCAAAGGGAACACTGTGGACATAATCTGCCTTGACTTTAGCAAAGCTTTCAAAATAGTGTTACACGACACTCTGATAAGCAAATTAACAAAAACAGGACTAGATCAAAAAACTATTAGGTGGATCAAAAACTGGCTGCTGAATCAAACATAAAGAGTGCCCATCAACAGCACCGTCTCAGATTGGATGAAGTTAACTAGAGGGGTGCCAAATGGTTCAGTCCTGGGCTCAGTGCTCTTCAACATCTATATTAATGATTTGCATGAGAAAGTACAAGGAATTATAATCAGATCTGCAGACAATACAATACTGTGTGGAATAGCAAACAGCCTAAAGACAGAATGAGGATCCAGGGAGATCTTGATAAACTTGAACACTGGGTTGAAAGCCACAGAATGAGATTCAATAGCAAAAAGTACCAAGTCCTCCACCTAGGAAAAAGGCATCAACACAAGATGAGGAATACATGACTCAACAGAATTCAAAAAGAAAAAGATCTCAGAGTAATTGTGCACAATAGGCTAAATATGAGCCAATGACAAATGCTCTTTTGGGATGCATTAACAGAAATATTACTTCCAAATCACAAGAAGTAGTCATTCTCCTACACCCTTCACTAGTCAGATCCCATCTGGAATATTGTGTCTAGCTCTGGGCACCAAGATGTAGAAAAATTAGTAAAGGATCCAGAGGAGGGCAACAAAAATGATCCAGGGTTTGGAAACACTGTCCTGTGAGGAGACACTGAAAGAACTGGCATGTTCAGCCTTGAGAAGAGAAGACTGATGGGGAACATGGTATCCCTGTATTATCTCCAAGGCTGTCACAAAGAGGAAGGTCAAGATCTCTTCTTGGTGATACCAGAGTGTAGGACATTGAATAATCAATTCAAGTTGCGGCAACCCAGATTCAGGCTAGATATCAGGAAAAGTTGCCCCTCTGTCAGAGCAATATGACAGTGGAATCTGTTTCCTGGAATGGTGGTGGGACTAGAGATATTAAAAAAGAAACTCAACAGCCATCTGAGTGTGATGGTGTAAATTGGTGTCTTGCAAAAACAAGAGGTTGAACCCAATGGCCTTCATGGCCCCTTTCAACTCTATTATTCTATGATTTATGTAGTAATATCTCAGATTTTTTAACACCATTCTAAATAAAACTAGAAGGAGTACATTATCACTGATATAGGAAAGAGGTTTTGGAACCCTGTAATATCCAAAAGACAACAGTTAAATTTATCTTGACTAATTTAAGCACCCAAAAGAAGCACTTGTGATGGCAAAAGGCCCACACAGACTGCCAACACTGTAGTGTGCTGGTAGACTCCATCAAATGGCTAAGCAAGGCAGAGTCTGCAGATGATAGCTCAGCAGCTACCACCAAACACCCTCATCTACTACACCCACACGTGTAGCACCACATGCACATATTCTGATTACTGTGTCATTTTATATCATGCAGTATTTTACTACCCCCCCACACACACACATGCTATGCAATTAACTGTTGTCTGATGCTTATGCATTTGTACAACACTTTACTTTCTACCACTCTGGGCTATTTGTCAAGCCCAGAATTATTTCCTCTGACTGATTATATTCCCATGCTTAGCCATAAGAAAGACTCCCAAACACAAATAGCTGTTGTGATAAATATTCTTATTAATGATTAAATAAAATTGAACAGAACGAATCTTATGTAAGGCACTGATTCCAGAGTACAACTGGTACATGTACAGTATAAGATGACTTTGAATTCAGTCAGGGAACATCATTGGACCTGAGGCTTCATTTAATTTAATTCTGGCCTCTTCTCTCTGGCCTCTTAAATGCCCTCTCTTTCCTAATTTTTTACTAAATTCTTTGAGTTTGATGTGTTTCTTGTTCCATCCATCCTATTTTGTCTCCACCACAATCCAGAGCAGTAGGATGGGTTGAACTCACCCATTATTGACCCAAAGTTGCCCATTGAGCCTCAAGAGTGAACAGAATTCTTAACCAAGGATACCTTAGCCTAGACCCAACTGTCCAACCACTCCATACCAGAAAAGACAATATCAAAATCTGTGTAGAGACTTTTCAAAGCTTCAAAACCAAGACTTTGGTTTAATCTTGAAATGAATAATTTTAGTGAATTCAACCTGTTTTGATAAAAATTCTTAGCAACTATTTCTGAATTTTTATTGCTGCTTGTGAATAATGCTAATGTGTGCATATATTCTTTAATTTCTTGTAGTTTGTAGTGTTAAAATTGATTCTCTCTCTCCTTCCCTCCCTCTCTCTCTATACACACACACAAAATCTGTGGCTATGTCACAATATCCTCAAGGATACACAAAGCCAATTGGGATCAGTTGTATAAGTGATTCCAGCCTATCTGGAATCTCCCAGTGAATTAGCATTTAATTGGCATATACATTTCATGTACTTTCTGGAAGGAAGTACATATTATTCCTTACTGGAGACCATTAGTGAGAGCTGGCCAGAATGTGTTCTAGACTGCCACCATCAGGTAAGTTTAGAGAAGGGATAATAGCAAGGCAATGATGGAAGAAGCTTGCAGTTGAGATTGGAAGATAGACAGTTTTGAGGCTACATGCCATCAACAAATGCACAGTGAAGCCCAAACACCATAATAATAGCAATAATAGTATAGATGCAGTGAATATTTTTGGCCCTCAGTGGCATCAAATTGGATCTAATAGCATTAATTATTGCACATGCCAACACATTTTGTTTCTGTGTAGGAAGATAGTTTACATTGAGGTATTATATATGATCTAAAATATCATAACAACAGCCAAACTTCTTTGCAAGGAAAAATGCATTGCAATAAAAAGTAGAAGTATGTGAATAATTCTGTCTATAATTTCATAAGAAATGTTGGAATGAAAGACCTGAATTCATCTTCCATGTACCTGTTTTGTAGTTGGATCTTGTGTATACTAGGGGAAAAATTGTATTAGTGTCAGAATGATTCTGGCTAATGCAAAGGCAGTCTTTCTTTCAAACAAGTTTTTTTTATCAGTAAAGCAATGGAAAAGTTTAATAACAAAAATAAGAATAGGCAACTTTCTCTTCTTGTGATACTTATTTTCCCTTTTTATTAGCTATGAGATTGAAAAGGGTTATTGCTAAAAGACACCCACTTACTGCACTGGACAGTGAGATAAGAGTGAAATACTGAACACCCATCCCCACAAACAGAATGTCTGAGAATTGAAATGATAAGCTTTTTGAAGTAGCTGCTCTTAAAGTGATTGAGGTAGAGAGTACTGTATCATGTTTGTCGGGCAAGTAAAGGAAAGTGGCGCTGTACTACATTAAAATTTGCATCAATATGCCCAGGCAGAAAAGTCTGAAAACTAAGCATGTTCATATATATTGTTCATTATATCAAAGTTTTATTTTTACATCACAGTCTGACTTCAAAATCACACTGTGCAATAATCATAAACCATATCGATCCCAGCAAGCCTATAAATGAAGGTTATGTGCCCCAACAGTCTCCATCTAGACTCATCTGTAATACAAAATGAGAAAAGTCAAAGCATGTGCTATTTCAAACCCCATCTCCTGAGAAAAGTGTGTGTGTGTGGGGGGGGGGGTGACTCTAGAACACACACAATGTCATCATTGCCAAGGATGCCAAATGTGCTAGCTGTTATAGCTTACCCACATATAGCATTCAACATAGGCAAGAATGCTAAGCAGAATTTTTTAGATTTGATTTTGACACGCATATATGCATATACATATGTATATGGGGAGGACCCTGATCAGCCATGATTAATAATAACAACAACAATAATAACAAACACTAACAAGTCTGAGTTTTTACAGTCCCTGTCAAAACTGTCATTTTTTCAAAAAGTGGCTCTCACTTTTTGAGTTTCCTAAGGAGATGAAATCTTAGCAAAGAGTGGAAAAAGCACAGAACCTTGATAAATGTCAGCTCCACTAATAAAACCTAGAGAATGTTATCACAAAGGGGGTGGATCTACTGGAGACCTTCTTTTGCAAGCAAAGAGCTACTCTCCACTTTTGCATGCATATTTTGCCTTGTGATTGTTGTTAGGGAAAACAAAGCAACAATTTAGCCTGTTCATAACCTTTCTCAATGTTCCTAGATGATGTCTCCTTCTCTTTGACTAGTGGAGCTACTTTGTAGAACATTGACAAGGAAAGGTTTTTCATTTCAGATGTCCAATGGGGGTGCAGGTGAACAGTCAGAAAAGATTGTTTTAATTATTATTTTTTAAAGATGCAATTTGTGCATATTTGAGGAACTTTTTTAAACAGCTGAGTCCAAAAAGTAATGCAGTCTGACACAGTTTGCTCAGCTGAAAGCACTGTGAAATATCATCAGGCTTAAATGAGACAGAATCCCCATCTCATTACAAGAGGAATATCGCAAGGCTGGAATTAATGCAGCAAAGGGCCACTAGGATATTGGCTGGTTTGCCGGGTAAGCCACATGAGGAGAGATTGAGGAAGCTGTGTCTTTTCAGCCTTGAGGAGACTCAGAGGGGATCTGTTAGAGATATACAGGTATGTGAGGAGGTGTCACTCAGATGTGGGTCATGATCTTTCCCCCCCTTTGGTGGAGGGCAGGATGTGTTCCAATGGAGGGAAGCTCAGGGATCCAAGCTTTAGGGTAGATGCCAGAAAGTCCTTCCTTAGGTTATGAAATGAGCTTCTACGAGAGGTGGTTGAAGACCCAACAGTGAAGGTGTTGAAGGATTGGCTGAACATGCACATGGTAGGCATATCATGAGTGGAGCTGGCTGGAGCCAGGGGTCAGACCCCAGGAGGTCACTTCTGACTCCCTCTGCTTCTATGTATATCAGGCCCTACACCCTTGAAATGCCAGCAAAGATGTGTAAAAGAAACATTGAAGTTCTTTACCACAACTGGACACCTCACAGGCAACCTATAAGAGCCACAGATCATAGAATCATAGAAATATAGAAACAGAGCAAGTCAGAAGGGGCCTCCTGGGCCATCTAGTCTGACCTCTGGCACCAGCCGGCTCCGCTCATGACATGCCCACCATGTGGATGTCCAGCCTATCCTTGAACACTAGCACTGATGGGGCCTCAACGACCTCTCGTGGAAGCCGATTCCACACCCTCGGGGTCCTGACTGTCAGGAAGTGCTTCCTGGCATCCAAATGGAACCTTGGCTCCCTGAGCTTTGCTCCATTGGAGCATGTCCTGCCTTCCTCTGCAGGGGATAACAGGTCTCTACCCATCTCCATGTGACATCCCCTCACATACTTGTATGACGCCAACATATCCCCTCTGAGTCTCCTCTACTCCAGGTTGAAGAGACCCAGTTCCCTCAGTATTGCCTCATACGGCATCCCCTGCAAACCGGCCACCAACCTTGTGACCTTATGCTGCACTGACTCCAACCTGACTATATCCTTTCTGTAATGAAGGCCAAAACTGAACACAATACTCCAGTTGTGGGCGCACCAGAGTCGTGTAGAGTGGTAGTAATACCTCTCTTGATCTAGAAGCCACACTTCTGGCTATGCAACCAAGGATGGTGTTTGCCCTCTTGACCACTACATCACACTGCTGACTCATGTTTAGCCTGCAGTCAACCAGTACCCCGGGTCCCTTTCACAAGTGCTACTCTCCAGCCACTTGTCACCTAACCTGTACTTATGACAGCTATTCCTATGTCCCAAGTGCAAGACCTTGCACTTATCCACATTGAACGCCATCCTGTTGTCTCCTGCCCACTTCCATAGTCTGTCCAGATCCTTTTGGATCTGGAGTACCTGCTCCTCAGTTGTGGCCACTGCTCCAGTTTTAGTGTTGTCTGCTAATTTGATCAGCAGACTGTTCACCCCTTCTTCCATGTCGCTAATGAAAAGATTAAACAGGATCGGCCCCAGGACAGAGTCCTGGGGGACCCTGCTTGTCACTGGCCACCGTCCCGATGATTCCCCGGTAATGGTTACCTTCTGCTTTCGGTCAGTCAACCATGCCTTAATCCACCGGACAGTGCTTTGGTGTATCCCAAAACTCCTCAGTTTCTCCACCAGGATATCATGAGGCACTTTGTCAAAGACCTTGCTGAAATCGAGGTATACTACATCCACTGCATCCCCTCCATCTAGCCATCTCGAAACCTTGTCATAGAATTCCACAAGGTTTGTCTGGCAGCACCTGTTTTTGCAGAAGCCGCGTTGTGTGGCTGTCAGCCTCCCTTCCCTATCTAGCATCACTAGATCTCTCTCTATTATGAGCCTTTCCATTGTTTTTCCTACAATGGATGTAAGGCTAACCGGTCTATAATTCCCCATGTCCTTTCTACTACCCTTTTTGAAAATTGGGACCACTGATGCCACCCTCCAGTTCTCTGGAACTTCACCCATTCTCCATGAGGTCTCAAAAATGGAGGCCAGAGGACGTGAGAGAACCCCTGCCAACTCTCTAAGTACTCTCGGGTGTAACCCGTCAGGGTCTGGCGCCTTTGTAATGTCCAATGCCCTGAGGAGCCCCTCGACTTCAAGGGGGGGTGACTCTAAGCTGCGCCCCTAAGTCCCCAGCCTCATCTAATCTCCTATGCAGATATCCCCCGTCCTGCCTTGGGGAAAACACAGAGGCAAAATAGTCATTTAGCATCTGTGCCTGTTTCCTCATATCAGTCACTGGATCTCCTTCCTCCTCATTTGGTGGTCCCACCACTTGTCTCCCCTTCCTTTTCCTATTTACATGCTGAAAGAAGCCCTTTTTGTTGCTCTTGATATTCTTTTTTTTTTTTTTTGGATTTATATCCTGCCTTTTTCCTACAAAGGGCTCAAGGCAGCTTACATCATTCTCCTCCTGCATCTTATCCCCACAACAACATCCCTGTGAGGTAGTTTGGGCTGAGAGTCTGTGACTGGCCCAAAGTCACCCAGTTGGCTCCATGGCCGAGCGGGGACTAGAACCCAGGTAGTCTGAGTCCCAGTCCCATGCTCTTAACCACTACGCCACACTGGCTCGTAATCAGCCTTGGCCTTGCAAAGAATCCTTCTGCAATGGGCCTCCTCCTCCCAGTATACCCTTTTGTCTATTTCCCCCAGTATCCATTTCCTGAGGAGGTTCCTCTTTCGTCTAATCCCTTTAACCACCTCCTTTTGCATCCATGGCGGCACTCTCCTCCGCCTTTCCACCTTACTGACTAGAGGTATCTCTAAGGCTTGTGCCTCCAAAACCTCCCTTTTGAGTGCTATCCACCCCTCCTCAACTCGCTTACCTTCCAGGAACCTATCCCAGGAGACTTTCCCCAGTCTGGCCTTCAGGTGGCCAAAGTTGGCCCTCTTGAAGTCCCAGCTTCTAGTGCTTGACCTGCTGCACGTCCCCAGTCCTCTGATCTCAAAGCAAAGGATGGAGTGATCACTCGCATCCAGAGCTCCCCTAATCTGTACTTCATCTATCAGCTCCTCCCTATTGGTCAAGACCAAGTCAAGAATGTTTCCCCCCCTCGTCGCCTCTCGGACCCTCTGTGTGAAAAACCCTCCCTCTATAGCTTCTAGGAAGTGACGTGACCTGGCTGTCACCGCCGAGTGAGTCTTCCAAGTAATATCCGGGAAATTGAAATCTCCCATAATTACTGTGTCCCTCCCCGGAGATATCCTTAGAATCTGACCTGTCAGGACATCTTCCAGGGTCTCAAGTTGACCTGGAGGACGATAACATACCCCCACTGTCAGGTCTCTCTCCCTGTCAAAATCCCTAAGTTTCACCCAGACTGCCTCTACCGAATCCCCATCTGTGCTGCATTCTATCTCACTGCATCTTATCCCTTCCCTGACCTATAAAACCATGCCCCCACCTCTCTTTCCCTTCCTGTCCTTTCTAAAAAAGTGATACCCTTCTATGTTCACATTTCAGACTTGCTTTCATCCCACCAAGTTTCTGTGATTCCCACCAGATCATACCCTCCTATTCCCAGGAGAGCTTCAAGCGAGCTTCAAATGAGATACTTTGGGCCCATCATGAGAAGCCAGAACTCCCGGGACAAGATAATCAAGCTAGGGGAAGTCAAAAGCAGAAGAAAAGGACAGCCAAATATGTGATGGATTGATTCCATAAAGTAAGCCACAGCCTTCAGTTTACAAGAGCTATCATGCATGGGACATTTTGGAGAACATTCATTCTTTCTCTTTTATTTTGTTTTACAATTTATTGAAATTATTCTTTTTTTAATCATTCTACCCTTTTAGTAATATTAATGCCCTAATGCTTGATAACTCTAAGTACCTTAATTTTACCATGTATAGAAACAGAGTGAGTCAGAAGGGGCCTTCCAGGTCACCTAGTCTGACCCCCTATTTTCTTTATTTCCCTTTCAAAATTTTCCACCTGTTTACACTGCAGGGCATGGAGGTGCCACGGGGAGCCCAGGTGTGTGATCCTCTGAAAGGGTGGCACCCTTGAAGCTCATAGCCCATACAGTAGTTGCTGGTTCAGTCAGCCTTGCTCTATCTGGGCCTTGGCTGCCGCAGACCACAAGCGCCCTCCATTTCTGCACTTCCTGTCAGGGCTGCCCTGTTCTGTTCCCCTCATCTGGTTGCTCAGCTGCCACAAAGATTTCCATGAGCACGATGGCATCCTCTAGAGTTTCTGGCCTCTGATACCTAACCCAGTTTCGGTCTGGGACTGTCAGGATCAGCACAAACTGCTCCAACAGAACCAGTTCAGCCACTGGTTCAGTGCTGTGGGCCGCTGGCTTCAACCACTTCAACCCATTAGCCTGTATCTTCTGTCCCAGCGCCCCAGGGGACACACCAGTCCCATAGACCACTCCTCTCATCCGTCACCTATATGTTTCTTCTGAGACATGCAGGGTCCTCAACATTGCTGCCTTCACTAAATCATACTGGCCTGCTGCTTCTGGGGTAACCATGTCCATTGCTTCCTGCGCAGGACCCATGGGGCAAGGTGTCAGGATAAGGGCCTGTTGTTCTTTGGACCATTTGGCTACTAAGGTGATCCTTTTGAACATATTTAAAAAGGCTTCACATGGAACTTTAACTCAGAAATAAATCCCAATGTGTTTCATGGGGCTTATTCCCAGGTAAGTAGGAATGAACTTTGTTATTGTTGTGTTTTTCTTTTTCAGCAAAAATTAAAGGATCTAGTATATACAAATAAAGTATTAAAATAATTATCACACTTCTAGTAAGGAGAAGTATTTATTCATTTGCAGCACCTGATTTAATTTCTGAGTAAGTTTTTGTTGATGTGTTCTGCAAATATTGTGCATATACTAAAAATGTATTGCCCATGTTACTTCCATTGGTATGATTAAACTGAGCTGGAACCCTGGACTATTTAATGTTGTCAGAAGAAATTCTATACATTCTGAACAGGTGCTCACTTTCATGCTTTGAGGAACAATCCTGTTAAAGTTTTTTATACATTATTTTCTTATCTGTCTGGAAACCATGTAGTAAGATGAACTATGAAAAGTAAGAATCTGAACTTGTCATGCCTGCAAATTAAATCTCTTATTTTTTACTGAGGCTGCTTTCTGTAAGTTTGTTTTAAGTATTTGCAAGTTCAGGGTTTAATCTGGGGTCATTCAAATGAAATTCACAAGTATTGCCATTTGCTTCAATGGCAAAGGGATGCACTCCTTTCATAGGTATTTTTTTTCTTCCTTCCCCCACAAGGAAACGTTCGTGTGTGATTCTTCTTATTCAAATGTTTTACTTCTCTTTGCTCTATGTATTCCTATTTATGAAGTCCATAAACTCTTTGAAGAAGTGATTGCCTCCCTCCCACTCTGTGGTTGTAATCCTTGAAACATGTATTTGGGAATAATAACCCATATCCTATTTCTAATCACAGTCAGAAAAAAGAAGCAGCTGAAATATTGCACATAGTAATATTGTGCTATTTCTGTTCCAGACATAAATACCATAATCCTCTTGAGAATGTCACTCTTTCTGCAAGGTAAATAGCTGGAGTTCTCAAATGTAACAACAGAGATCAAACATCATCAGATTGTGAAGTTTATCCAAATAGAACTAAGCCTTCTGGGGTTGCCCCCATGCCTGGAAATCCTCAGTGGATGAGTGGACATTGGCTATGTGCCACAATATCTACATTGTGATGTCGTGCATCAATGAAAGCAGCAGACTACACCACTGAACAGAGCCTTCAACATAGTGGGGGGATATGGTGAAAGAGGACAGGAAAGAAGCTAACACTAGCATCAATGGCAACATTATATTGATGGAATAAAGCACCAAAACGCTGAAAATGAACCACTGTTTCATTACTGAGTCAGAGACAAAGGGATGGGAAAGTGAATAAGATGCAACAAATGCAATTTCTGTGCCTTAGGCTGTAGCAAACAGTGGCTGTGGACCCCTTGGCCCGGGAAGGGTTAACACTTGATTCATTGGCCAGGCTGCTTCAGCCAGCTTATGATTCAAGGAAAATGTGGGAGGGCTCAATAGCACTTGGAATGCAAAAAGCCCTAAGATACTGTTGATTACTTTGAAGAACAGGAGAATTCACATTCCAAGGCTAAAGATTTGAGGTCTATAGCATATACAATTCTCACCTGGGCAATGTCAGGATATGTCATCCCATGACTCATTTTATTGATCTACTAGGGATAAAAGCTGGGGGCTGCTGGAGGCTTTGGTGAAGGATGCTGTGCTATTCTACAAAGGAGAAGGCTCCATTGGGTACTGTATACTGTGTTCATTGTAGGAACAGTTAGCTTTGTTATTTTGTGTCTGAGGTGGGCAATTGACCTCAGGGGTGTTGGTGGAGCACAGATTATCTTGACTTAGTGGAAGTGCTGCTCCTCAATTTCCTTTCCCTTCCTTAACCTCTTCTTTCTCTGTGTGGAATGTATTCTAGTATTTTAAGACCTTCAACCCCTATTGTGTTAATTCTGTTTTTTTAAAAAAACAAGTTTTTATCAGTGTTTGGATTGCTGTGTGCTGAATCCAGTGTCTGGCCTTGGGATTTAGGGATCAGGGAATGCAGGGCAGAGAACTGTGCTCTGTGAGCTGCAAGGAGGTGGGGACTCCTGAGTAACTGAACATTACATGAGCAAATTGGCAAAAAATGTGCATGTACACATACAGAACGCAACAACACTTCTTCTCTTGATGTTGTACTAAAGCAATGAGCGATCTTATTTATTTAGGTAATTATTTGATAAGTTTCTATGCCATCCATTACTAAAAAAGTCTCTGGACGTTTTACAAAAAGCCAAAGAACAAAAACCATAACAACAACGCACAGCACACTGCATCTAAAAATAGTGATTAAAAACAAGGCTAAA